TTTCCAATCATATGCAAGCTTTATGATAATCCTGAGGGCAGCCCCTACACTTTTAGTAGACTGAGGTCCACGAAAACACATTCCATGCCACTGACATGCATGTAAATTAAGTCTAAGTATGTGAATATTACTTAACCCTTCCCTCTTGAAATTGCTCCAAATGGAAGAACACTGACTAATACTGACTTTACTATTTCAAGTGATTATCAGCCAGGTGGAGGAGCAAACTCTCTCTCAGAACATTCTCATGCCACTGCTTAAAATCAAAGAACTACATTAAAACTGCTGACATCTGACATTACTGAGTTTCAAAATATCTAGATTTACTTGATGAGTATTTGGAGCCAAAGAAAAGTCAATGGGTCTTGGTTATACTAAAGAACATTTGGAGTTTCAAATAATGGTGAGAAATCTTTTCTAGGCTTACACAGTCAAGCATTTCTGCAAAGTTAAGACTTTAACCCTCTTAAAAGTCATGATTCTGTCTTTGCTGCATATTAAAATTACCCAGAAGCCTTAAAAAATAAAACATACCAAAAAACCACAACACAAGATGTGTGGGCTCCATACAGACCAACAGAATTAGGAACTCTAATTAGGGAGTCCTAATATGTTTGTAAAAGTTCTCTTGTTGTTAGGTGCTGTTCAGTCTCATATGACTCACAGCAACCCTCTGAGCAACACATCGGAACCTTCCCCTATCCCGCGCCATGTTCCTTGTTATAGTCACTGTGCCAACACACCTCACTGAGGGCCTTCTTCCCTTTCTCTGACCCATCACCTTTCCTAGCATGAAGCCTTTTCCCAACAAATGGACTCTCCTGACAACATGCTCTAAGTACGTAAGATGCAATTTCACCATCCTTGCCTCCCAGGAACACCTGGCTGCACTTCCTTCATGACAGACTTGATACTCAATACCCTTTTCCAACACCGTAATTCAAAGGCACCTATTTTTTTCCTGTCATCCTTATTCACTGTCCAACTTTTTAGATGCATGTAAAGCAGCAGAACATAGTGTGGCTTGATCGGGAACATGTTAGTCTTTAACTGACATCCTTGCTTCTCAGCACTTTGAAGAGGTTCTTGACCGCAGATTTTCCTGTAATCTTTAGTTTTCCTTAGACCTGGATTGGCATCACTTAGTAACTAAAACGAAATGTAGAACCTCAAGTTCCATACTAACCCACCTATGTCAGGACATATATTTTAACAAGATGTGTATGTGTTTCATGCATTGTTGTCATTGTCAGGTGTCTTAGAGTTGGTTCCAACGTACAGAGCCCTGTACATACATGAATGAAACATCACCAGGTCCTGGGCCATCCTCATAATCACTGTTGCTAAGTCCGATCTCATTGTTGCAGCCACTCTGTCAAGTCATCTCACTGAGGATCTTCCTCTTTTTTTGATGCCTCGGGTAGACAATAACATTTGAAAACTATTGTTCGAAATAATGGCCTTGCTTGTAATGGCTCACAAGCTTCCATCACTGAGTTCCTGTTTAAACAGTTATCTTATTTGACTATAAAGCTAGAAATGTCAATGTCCAATCAAAGGGCACCAAGAAATGAGAACATGAAAATGGTACTTAAAGACAGTGAACTAGGCATTAAATTCCAGTTAACTCAAGGCTGAACAAGATGCAGGGAACCAGTAGAGGAGAACTAGATATTAAGATTTTGCTCCTCTCCTTCCCCGTGAGCTCTTCTAAAAAAAGATCAAATTTTCTCTTCCCCACTTTCAAAGATGTCCATCCCACCAGAGGCTAAACTAACTGTCATAAAGTCAATCTCAATTCTGGTGACCCTCAAGCGCCAGGTTTCCAAGGCTACAGATCTTTACGAGAAGAGACTGCTTATCTTTCGCCCTCAGAGTGGCTGCACTGCTCACTATTATCACCAGGGCTCCTTAAAGAAGTCCAGAGGGATAAAATTCAACGTCAAGAAGTCCGTTCATTATTGTTCTCAGACCTCTGATGAGAAGGAATATGGTATTCCACTGTACTCTTTTGGACACTGTTCCAGTATGTTTTTAACCAATTTTAATCCCAGCTGACTATCACCGAACTTTATGGATAATTATGGAGCTTGTAAGAGTACAGGGTGTTAACTGTCAAATGAGATAAAAAATAAGACTGCTATCACAGAATTCAGGATTGCAGAGCAGCTTCATACCACGTGGCCACCATGCACGCATGGTATTTACTAACACAGAATTTAGAGTGAAATTACTGGGCCAACGTTTCCAAACATCTTAAAACACATCACCTAGCAAGCGTCTATTTATATTTTTGGGAAATCTACATCCTAGTTTTAGAAAATTCACAACACTTTATAAATATTCTGTTGATTTATGCATGCAGAATATAATTATGGACTTTATTATTTTTTTAAACTGTTAAGTTACTGTGAAGTGTCAGCCTAAGAGGCTCTGACATATCTGAAGACATAGAGTTCAAAGTGCTGCTGAGTTTAAAACACAGACTAAATGCAAAGATGTCTGGGTATCCTATCATATAGGCAAAGGTGCAGTCAGAAAAGTAGATAACCCCATGCTGCTCTTTTCAATTACAAAAGAAAAAAGAAAGTCTTTCCGAGGAAAAATCCTGCCAACTTTACTGGACTGAAGTTTTACTTCATGCTGATGCCGCTGCTTCTTTACAATGCATCTGAAATAGGGGAGTCTGATTCATTGAAATGTTTACTGAGCATCTACTGCATGTCAGTCACTGTTTTAAACACCCAATACAGAAGAGATCCCACAGTAGAGGTCTGAAGTCTTTTAAGAATTCACAGCTTAATTCCTTATCCTTCTCTTCACTTATAAAACCCTGAACCAAAAATTAAATTTCCCAGGAAGGGAGTGTGTCAGGGATGTGTCCTGTCTCCATACTTTTTCAATTTGTATGCAGAACAGATCACTCAGGTCGCTGGGCTTTACGAAGATGATTGTGACAACACGATTAGAAGAAGACTCATCAACAACTTACATTATGCAGATGACACAACTTTGCTAGTTGAAACTGAAGAGGACCTGAAGCGCTTGCTGCAGAAGGTCAAGGACTATAGTCTTTAATATGGATTGAAGCTCAACATTAAGACAAAAATTCTCACCAAAGGGCCAACTGGCAGCACCATGATGGCTAAGAGACTGACATGGTTAACATTTACAGCTTGCTCAGTTTCACAATCAACATTCTTAGCACTAGCAGCCAGAAAATCAAAAGATGAATTGCATTAGGTAAATCTGCTGTCAGAGATCTCTCCAGGGTACTGAGAAGCAATGATGTCCATCTAGAGACTAAGGTGTGCATGATCCAGGCCATGGTCTTCAGAATTACTTGCTATGCATCAGAGAGCTGGACCATGACTAAGGATGACAGAAGGATTGATGCCTTTGAGTTGTGGTGCTGGAGAAGAGTCTTGAATATATCATGGACCATCAAGATAACAAACAGGTCTGTCTTGGAGAGGGTGAAACCAAGTTTCTCCTTGGAGACTAGGATTTTTGAAGATCTGTCTTACATACTTTGGGCACGTGATCAGGAGGGACCTGTCCTTGGAGAAGGATATCAGGCTCTGAGGGGCGGAGGGACAGCAGAGGAGAGGAAGATCCCAGATGAGATGGACTGATATCGTAACTGGGGCAATGAGGGTAGGTGTGTCGGAGTCAGTGAGACTGGCTCACAACAGGGCAGGGTTCAGAGCTGTTGTACATAGGGTCGCTATGAGTTACAGGTGGCTCAGCGGCATATAACAACAACAATCCCCCTTTTCTTAAACATTTGATAGTAAGTGACCAGGAAATAAAATTAAGTCAGTACCACAGTTTGCTCTACTGGCAATTAAACTTGTAAAGTAAACCAAATATATTAAAAAATCTAAATATAATAAAAGAAAGGAGAAAAAAAAGTTAAGTGTTGAGCTTGACCCTCTTGAGTTTCTGTTCACCTGCCTGATCCTGGGTCTGTTTCTCAGTTTAAGGCAGGCTTGTTATACTGGCAGAGTTCCACCTCACCCTAGGAGGAACTAAGGACACCTAGTGTTAAATCTGGGTGACCTCAGCACTAAAATAAAAACACAGTAAGAACTACCAAATTATCCTCCCAACATAAATAAAACACAGAACTTCTGAATTTACAATTCTATTCTCCCTAACCTTTCCTTTTATATCTGAGACAGTATAGCTAACTATCAGTTTGAGACTACAGAAATGAAATAAAAGAGTCTTTAGTGGAAACCTACTTCTGAGCTGAAAACACTGAGTAAGGTCAAATCAAGATCAACTGCTGAAAATTCCCACATAAACAAAGAGAACAGCAGCAAGAATATAAGTTAAGCTTTTTAATCCCTGAAGTCAGTGGGCATTTTAGAACTCATTCACTCATGACTTATTTATTGTCTGTCTCCCACACCAGAAGGTGAGTTCTACCCTCACACTCATCTTCTGTCCTGTTTGCTAGGTCCACTGCATCTAGCAAAGCCACAGCTGGTACACAACATTTACTGAGTAAAGTGGCTTTGTGTGTCATAACTTAAAGGACACTAATCTTAAGAAATTTCAACATTAATTCTATGATAGGTAGGAATCCAACTGTCTGCTCTGCCAAGACACCAATCAATACTACTGGGGCAAAAGTGACATACCTCGTGAGGGAGGTGCTTCAGTATTTGCTAAAATGACACCGAAAAGAAAACCCTTCATAAAGATGTGACATCGTACTCTGAAAATATCCCAATATAACCAACTTCTTACTTCCTGTTGGTCTTCCTACACACGCACTTTGCAACTACCCTTACGGCCACTATATACAAAGTTAACTTCTAGCTACTCTGAACTTCCTGCTGTTCCTCTAATCACGGCCTCTTTCCTTAAGTTTCCATGTCTTTAAGAATGCCCTTCTCTCCGAGTAAGACACGGTTGTTCCTGCAGGCACCTGACTCACCGCTGTTTGCTCTCTCTGGGGAACAAGTTGGTCAGGAAGCTGCGCCGCAGCCATGGCTCTTAAGGACACCGGAAAGACGCCTGTGGAACAGGAGGTGGCCATTCACCGAATTTGGACTACCCTAACCAGCTGCAACATAAAAACCCTGGAGAAGGTGTGTGCCGACTTGATCAGAGGTGCAAAGGTGAAGGGACCGGTCAGGATGCCTACCAAGACTCTGAGAATCACTACAAGGAAGACTCCTTGTGGGGAAGGTTCCAAAACCTTGGATCGTTTTCAGATGAGGATCCACAAGCGACTCATTGACTTGCATAGTCCTTCTGAGATTGTCAAGCACATCACCTCCATCAGCACTGAGCCTGGAGTAGAGGTTGAAGTCACCATTGCAGATGCCTAAATCAACTATTTTAATAAATTGACTATCCGTTGGTAAAAAAAAAAAAAAAGAATGCCCTTCTATATGCTTTAGATGTACTCTCTCACCCTCTCTATATAGTGAATGCTTACTGATGTTTCAAGATTCAACAAAAATGTCCTCTGTGTTAAGTCTTCTCTAACTTCATCAGTAGGAACCAAGCACCAACCCCGTGCTCCAATAGCACTCGGACTTTATTGCTTTAAGCCTCCTCAATACGCTTAAGTCAGCAAGTATTTAATAAATATATGCTGACTAAATAATTCCCAAGATCCAGAATTATATTTGATTCTTTTAAGTTAGTGGTTTTCAACAAGGCAAGATTTTTGTCCTCAAGAGATTATCTGGCAATGTCTATAGACAACTTTGGATGTCATAAATGGAGGGAGACATGATACTGCTAATCAAATGAACAGAGGCTACTAGGGATGTTGATAAAACATATTACGAGGCACAGGCACAGAACACTCCCCTCTACTACAAAGAAGTGTTTTGCTCAAAATGCCTATAGCGCTATTGCTGGGTGTCACTTCTAATTCAGAAGAAATGCCATGCTCACAACAGTTTTTACCAGGTTCTAAAACTTTAGCAGACTATTAAATAAGGCCTAAGAAATGAGGTGCAGTCACTGAAAGAGGTGAGACCTCCACTTTTCTGTATCCCTTGAAAGATATATACGTGCCTTACATTAAGCTACCTCCAAATCAAAGCATCCATAAACCAGCATACCTAAGCAAATTCCCTAGTTATCCCCTTAAAAGGTAAACTCTAAATTTTTTTCTCCCCTGCCCCATAGAGAGGTCAGGAATGAACTATGCTTTTGTAAATGTACTGAAGATTAAAAACTTTTAATCTAAATTTTGATTAATCATCCCATAGCTCTTCTTAACAAACAACAATGAAAAAGATCCCTCATTGCCATCAAGTCAGAATCGACTTGGCGATCCCTCCAGCAGATTTTTGGAAACTGTCAATCACACAGAAGGTTTCTCATAGTTCTCTCACCCCCTGGTGAATGAGAACCACCTGGGTGGCAATGTCGTTGGGTCAGGAGCACAACTCCCTACAGACTAGGCCACCAAAAGGCTTCTATAAACACCTGTCATTCTTTCTTACCACTGTTAAATTCCGGATTTCTTCCATCACACGAGGCCAAAAGGACTGTAAGCTTTGCTGGGCATCACTGCTAGTAGTACCACCAAATCCTCCTTCTGTGGACATTTTCACAACT